GAGGAGGTATTGTTTCATGATCTCTGTGTGTATATAAAGTCTGCTGCAGTTTCCACGGTATGCATCCAATGAAGTGAGCTGTATCTCACGAAAGCTCATGCTCAAATAAATTGGTTAGTCTCTAAGGTGCCACAAGTACTCCTTTTCTTTTTGAGACAGCCAATGGCAGCATAGCTTTGAGGCTGATAAGTATAGATAAATAATAACCATAGGTGTAAATTCAACACAAGCTATGTTTGGCAGAAATGCAGGGCTGGAAACTCAGCCTCAGCCGGCTATGCACAAGGGACCCCCATTCAGCAAAACCTTTAAGTGGGTGCTTCAGTCTGTCCCTATTCTTCAAAGAGACAAGGTGGGGGAGGCAATATCTTTTATAGGACCAACTTCTGTTGGAGAGAGACACAAGCTTTCACAGAGCTCTTCTTCAGGTCGGGGAAAGGTACTCAGAGCATAGGCATCAACATTTCCCGGCGCTAGTGGGTGCTTGCCCCTGCCCCACCCCCATTCCAACCCCTTCCCCAAAGTCCCTGCCCCAACTCCGCCCCCTCCCTGCCCCTATTGGACCCCTTCCCCAAATCCCGGCCCCGGCCCTGCCTCTTACCAGAGCCCGCCGCGTTCCCCCTCCTCCCCCCTCCCTCACAGTGCTTGCCATCCCGAAACAGCAGTTTCGCTGCTGCAAGCGCTGGGAAGAGAAGCGGGGACGTGGCGTGCTCAGGGGAAGAGGAGGAGCACAGGTGAGGTAGGGCGGGGTGGGGAGCTGCCGGTGGGTGCAGAGCACTCACTAATTTTTCCCTGTGGGTGCTCCAGCCCCGGAGCACCCACAGAGTCAACCCAGAGTGTCAAGGTGGAACAGATAGAGAGTTAACACATGTTGCAAGAGACCATTCAAGGTGAAGTGGGCAGTTAACACCTCTGTAGTCATAGGACAAAGGAGGGGTAGTGGATTACAGATTATTTTAATTTATTACAAATGTCTTTATTAAATCCATGATTTTTGATGTCTAGCAGAATTATAAATTTAAGTTCCCAGACCTTCAAAGTGCTTAAACACATGCTTATCTTCAAGCATGTTGTGAAGTCCCACTGCAGCCAATAGGATTTAGCCTTGTGCTTAAGAGTTTTCATGAATAGATCTGAACCTGGACCAAAATAACCACAAAAGGTAGAGGGTAGAATACAGGATAAAATCTGTTGCTCTAATAATGTACAGAATCCCTAAAGAACGTGTGGTATTAAGTCATTCTCCAAAGGATAGGAATATGTCCCTGTGAGTATTACCTGATGGACAGCACTTAAACAACCATCAGGGCATAGTCCCTAGATTAATGAAGATCCACTAAGGCTCATAATGACATCACACCCATAAATATGACTGGTTCATTCTCATAACTCAGGGCTGTGATAGCACACCTATGATTAGGAATCATTTTTGCCTGGGGTTCCTTTCATATAATCATTTTTTTAAAGGGTGGAAGAGCAGGCAGGCCTCTACCCATGAGGCTGTTACACATGGAGAGAAGACCAGAATGAGAAGCAGTGGGTTCCATTTTCACAGTTTAAAGAACAAAATGAGCTGTATCACTGGGGAATACAAATGGGACCTCACAAAATGATTAAAAGTTTGTGTTTCTAAGGTGTGCTTAGTCATAGGACATATAAATTGTTTTTAAATAGAAAGTTTTACAGTTAACAATGTCCCTTTTGGAACCAGAAAATAAGAACCAGGAGACAGAGTAAGCTAAGGCAGGTTATATATCCATCATGACTGGCGGTATTCAAAGCTGACGCCCATTTATCAGAGATGGCTTAGAAATAATGATACACATCTTGCTATAATGCAGTGTGCGTTGAGAGGCAGGCGATAAAATAATGTAATGCGTTGCACTTAGATGGCATAGTCTGGGGATCTCAAGATGTGTTACAAACATCAGTGAGTTTAGCCTCACCACATTGATGTGAAAGAGCATTGTCACTTCCTTTCTGTAGCTGAGTCACAGAGAAACTTAGGGTTTGCCTAGATCAGGGGTTCTCAAACTGGGGGTCGGGACCCCTCAGGGGGTCATGAGGTTATTACATGAGGGGTCGCAAGCTGTCAGTCTCCATCCCAAACTCCACTTTGCATCCAGCATTTATAATGGTGTTAAATATATTAAAAAGTGTTTTTAATTTATAAGGGGAGGGTCACACTCAGAGGCTTGCGATGTGAAAGGGGCCACCAGTACAAAAGTTTGAGAACCACTGGCCTAGATGGAGAGTTCGTGTACAGCACGCCAGGGTGTGCACTAGTGTGTTGTGCACTAATGGGCTGTATGGACCCTATTGCTGTGCACTAAACGTTTCCTAGTGCTCTTTGATCTATGCCAGGGGTGAGCAAACTATGGCCCATGGGCCGGATCCGGCCCACCAGCCATTTTAAGCTGGCCCTCAAGCTCCTGCTGGGGAGCGAAGTCTGGGGCTTGCCTCACTCCGGCGCTCCAGCTGGGGAGCAGGGTCTGGGGCCATTCCACACAGCTCCCGAAGCAACTGTGTAGCCCCGCTCCAGCGCTCCAGCTGGGAACGAGGGTCAGGGGCCGCTCCATGTGGCTCCAGGAAGCTACAGCATGGCCCCCTTCCGGTGCTCCAGCTGGGGAGCAGGGTCAGGGGGCGCTTCATGCTACTCCGGGAAGCAGCGGCATGGCCCCCATCCGGCTCCTTCATGCTCCAATGGCCCCACTCCAATGACCCCCTCCGGCGCTCCAATGGGAACTGCAGGAGCAATGCCTGCGGATGGGGCAGCATGCAGAGCTGCCTGGCTGCGCCTCCACATAGGAGCCGGAGAAGGGACATGTCGCGCTTCCTGCCCCCCTGATCCTCTTCCCACCCCCCTGCCCCAGCCCTGATCCCCCTCCCACCCACCAAACCCCTCGATCCCAGCCCAGAGCACCCTCCTGCACCCCAAACCCCTCGTCCCCAGCCCAACCCCAGCTGCAGCACCCCCAGCCAGAGCCCGCACCCCCCCACACACACACACTCTTCCACACCCTGAACTCCTCATTTCTGGCCCCACCCTGGAGCCCGCACCCGGTACAAATACCCAGCTGAGCGCACTAGGGAAAAGATTCCACCACCAAGTCACTCTAGCCTGAGCAACCTCCATAGGCCCACCAGCCTTTCTTTGCAGGAGGGCAAGACCCACCCCAGATCCTTCCCAGGCCGCCTCCCTCTTCCCTGCTGTGAACTGACACACATGGAGCTGCCACTCAACTGGGCTAGTTTCTGCAAGAGTGGCTGCACAAGGCATCCTTCCTTCACAAAACTGAATACTGATTCTGCTGCCAGGGGCTGGCCACGAAGAGAAAGGTAGAGGCAGGATTTGATCCTAAATAACATGCCCTATGGGTACATAGAAAACCTGTTGCATAGCTGGGAACAGCACCCATATTTCCTATCTCCAAGTCCTATGTTCTAACCACAAGACCATCCTTTCAACCAATGGACCTGATCTAAGCCCAATAAAGTCAATGAGAGTTTTTTCATTTACTTTCATGTACCATCTAGGTACCAGGCCTAGATGATCCAACTGTGGTTCTTCAGACCAAAGCAGTTTGTAACTATTTCACCTTTTCCTAGTTTAGTAGCATCCTAGGGTTTGTTTGCTTTCCTAGTGATGCCCGTGAGTAAGAGAGGGCAGGTGGTCAATGTAAGGTACCGATTTGGGGGATATTTGTGCAGAAAAAGTAAAGTACTAGGTCTTATTACTATTATTATTAATTGAATAGTATTATTACTGCATTCCCAGAGATTTAACCCAAAGAGAGTTGAACAGGAGATGGGGGAATTTATTAATGACCTTACTGTATGTATTCTCTCCTCTAGCCCTCTGTGTGTGAAACTGCAGTGTGCTAAATAACTACAAGGGAAATTCTGCTAACACAGAGCAACACCGAAACCCTAGAGACTGGTGAATAATAAAGTAAGCATTTGTTCTTTTGGTAGTGGAATTCCTAGCCTGGCCTATTGAGTCTGGTGCTCGGAAGGTCCCCAGACATTTTGGGGAGGATTCGGCAGGGACCGTGTGGGAGAAGGTCAGTAGTAGCCAGTTGCCCAGCAGGAAATAGGTGCATTACCAATGTTGTTAATGCTTAAACTTGTGTTTGTCAGTCCTGCCTCATGCATGATTCTGAAATAAACAATGTGGAACGGGTGCCAGTGAAGATTGTGGCCCCCAGTGTGCAAGGCACAGCACAAACACATAGCGAGAGATTGTTCTTTCCCTGAAAAGTTTACGGTCTAAACGAACAAGACAGAAAGGGTGGGATGGCCGCAGAAACATAGGAATTGCCAGATCAGTGGATCCTTATCTTGTCTCTGATAGTGGCTAGAACCAGATGCTTCAGAAGGTACAAGAAACTCCAATGTGTCTCCAGTGGAAGTTTCTTCCCTAAGCATAATTTTTTTTAATTTATCTAATGTAACTGTGAATGTTCTAACTATTAATATGAACAGCTGACCCTTTACTGAATCTTGTTAAGCTCCTAACAATAAGATACAAATTCTATATTTCTGTCCTATTTAAATAGGAATATTTGTGTCATGTGTCACTGAGTAAAGCCTTGTCCATTGTAACTGCAATTAGTTCATTAGGTGATAAATTCCTACTAGATGCAGTTCCTTTCCCACACATGGAGAGACCATTTCCCATTTCCCTGCATCTGCTGGATGGATGGGGAGTTTGGACTGTGTGTTACAAGACGGTGCTCAGGCTTCACCAGACACAAGGGCCCAGCTCTTCAAAAGTATTTAGGCCCCTCACTCCTGTTGATTTCAATGGGTGTTAGGCACTCAAATCCCTTTGACATTCTGGGTAGGGACCTCAGCAGTTGAGTGCTACAGTTATGTAATATTGTGCAGGTAGCGTGCATTGCCATTTTAGGAGATGGGAAGATATAGAGTGCACTTTTCCAAGGTATTTACATGCCTAAGGATGCAGCAAGCACCTAGAGGGATTTCAGTGGGCTTTAAACACACACGTCGCTTTTGCAAACCCCAGTAGGTACCTTGCTGCTTTTAGGTGCCTAAACCCCTTTGGAAATCGGGCCCTAAGTAATTTAGGAGTACAAGTCCCACTTAAAATTAATTAGGCACTTAGAGGCTTTTGGACCACCCCTTGCCCCCAAGTGTTGTTAAAGTATTCTACAGGCAGGGGGGCGCTCTCAAAATGCCATGAGAACAAAACCAAACCCAAACCCAAAGGAGGATCTTGCACAATCGCTATTCCTGGAAAGCCCCCAAAATGAAATGCAAAAATCAAGACAGCAGACCAGGCTAGTTGAGGGCACCCATCAGCCAGGCAAAGCGGTGTGTTTTAGCAGCTTGCACTGTGCTGGGGAACATACACGCATTCCGAGGCTTTTTTAAAAGAAAAAGTCCCACCAATCTCTTGGGGCTCACATAACGGGTCTGACGCCGCCTGCAGAACGGTTTGACTTTTGCCTGAGTCAGGACAGCACAATGTTGCTGTAGCGCCTCACCTCCATCCCTGCCTCCCCCTCGCTGGTGTGGATCCGTGGAAAGGAGAGGAGCGTTGCCACCCGCTGCGTCTTTTCACACCGGGCTGGCCAGGCTGCCTGCGCCTGGGAAATTCGCAGGGAGCGAGGTGTTTCACTACAACGGGTCCGGCAAAATGCAGCCTCCAGATCAGCTGGGGGGTAGCTGACACCGCTCCGCCCCCAACACCCCCAGGGCTGCTGGGAAGCCAGAGGGTGAGACCGTGCATGTTTCCGGCGGAGCATGGGCACGCAGATGGTTTGCACATAGCCCCTCTTCCAATGGCCGCAGCAGGTGCATCATCCTCTGCCCACTTCGCCGCCGGGAGTACGGAGGGGACAGCGCGCTGCAGGGCGGACGGCTGGGGCTGGAGCTGCCCGGGACGTTAATCCGCAGGGCGATGCGGAGCGCAGGGGGCCGGAGGCCGGGAGCAGTCGGCGGACAGAACTTTGCCTTCCCAGGCGTGCGGGTGTGAACCCCAGAGCCGCCTCCCACACCCGGCGGAAACACCCTTCCAATGCAATCGTTACAAGCACCGGTCCGGTCCCGGTCCCCTCCCACACCCACTCAGCCGCTCTCCCACGCCTCCTCCCTGGCCCTAAAGACGCAGCCCGGTGCGTGCAGCAAGCAGGCAGCTCGGGAGCAGCTGGAGCAACAGGCATGCAAGCAGCCCACATTGCTATTCTCCGCAGCTCCTCATCCCTCCACCCATCGCAGCTCGGCACGTCTCCGAGCCGCTCCGGGGATGTGCCGCGAGCCTTAGGGACATGGGAGCGGATCGTTTGATGATTTCGGGGGGAGGGGCTAGGAGTGTAGCCGGTCCCCTATAATGTCTGTGCCTTTTGAAAAGCACCGCCTAACGTAATCAACGCTGGTGATAAAACAGGTCTGCACCTAGTTCGTTGGCAGCAAAGCAAAGGCGCGAACAGCCAAAGGACCCAGCAATGTAGCCGGAGACCCCACATCACTCCGAGCGGACACTGAGCGCAGGCAATCGCGTGCCTCTGACTTCCAGCGGGGTCCCACACGCTGCTCGCCCTCGCTTTAGCTGAGTTCCTCCGATGGGGGGGGGGGGGTCCGCAGCAATTACAGGCGGGAGCTGGGTGCAGGTGGAAAGCGTCTCTCTCACCAGCAGAAGTTGGTCCAGTAAAAGGTGGGTCCAAGCAAAACCTCGCCCACCTTGACTCGCTAAGATGCTGGGACCCACAGAGCTACACCGCACCGCTCCATGTCACTTGCAGGCGGATGAATGTGGCTCCCCGTTCTGCTGTGAGATTGCATTCCCTTTCCCAGGGGGATGTATTTGATTTCCTGCCTTCAGCCCTGAACCCTGTCAGAGTCGGGAGATAAATGTGTCTGTGCGGGCGCATCCTAAGTCACGCTACCACTGTGCTAAACTTTTCAATCACACAAACCCTCCCGAAGTCTCTCCCCTCCCCACTCCGTCCCTTTCACTGTTATTCAGAGATGCTTCAATGGTCCAGCCTCGCTTGTGAAACCCCCTTCCACTGCCTTGTGGATTCCGTACTAAAAATGCCAGCAGCTTGTATGAAAATAACTTGCACAATGCAGTGAGATCACCCGAAACCATCCCTCCTTCCCCTCCACGAGCAGGTAAGAGGAAGGAATGTAAGGACCCTGCCAATATTAGCAGCAAGGGGGGGGGGGGGCGATGATAAATCACGGTCGCCAGCTCCTGGTTTTTCCCCTGTCTCTCCGCTTTGCTGCAAGGAACCGTAGTGCCGCCCTCTGGGGCAGGGCAGCCTTGGCACCACCATGGGGAGAGGCGGGGGCGGCCAGGGCAGGGCACTGCGGGGGCGATGCCCTGTTCCTTCCTCTCTGCAGGTGACCTCACCGGCAGAGGGGGGCGGGGGGGTTGAAGACTAACACCCCCAGCCCCAATCTCATCCCTCCTGCCATTGGCCCTGGCCAGGCTTTTCACCGTCCCTCTGCTGCGGGTGCCGTGTGCCCGCCGGGGGCTGGGGCTCGCGGCTCGGCAGGCTGAGCAACAAGAGGTCACCCTCCCGCCCGCGCCCGGCTGCGCTCCTCGCCCCGGCTCCGGCAGCCGGGCGGTTGCCATCAATTATTAATCGCCTCCCAGCAGCCGCGGCGGGGAGCGGGAGCAGCCGCGATAAGGGAGGGCGGCAGGGAGGGCGGGCAGGAGGAGGGGAGTGTGTGTGCGAGCTGCGCCTGGCTCACTGAGGCCGGCGGCTGCCTGCGGAGCGGAGGCTGCAGCGGCGGCGCGTTTGGAGAGCTGCGGGTCCCCCTCGCCACCATGTCCCCGCGCTGCGCGGCGGCCGCCTCGCCGGGAAGGGCCGCCGCCCCGGAGGACACGGGAGGATGAGGCGGAGGCGGCGGAGGAAGGAGGAGGCGGCGAGGCAGGCAGGGGGAGGCCGGAGGAGGCGGTGGGGCAGCGGAGGATGAAGTGGAGTGTCCGGGGAGCCTGCGCCGCGCTCTCCAGCTGCCTCCTGCTCGCCTGCGCGCTCAGCGCCGCCGCCGTGGGCCTCAAGTGCTTCTCGCTGGGCTCGGAGCTCAAGGGGGAGCCCTTCCGCCTGGGCACCGCCGCCGGCGCCTTCTACTCGGGGCTGCTGCTGGCCGCCGGCCTCTCGCTGCTGGGCTCGGCGCTGCTCTGCTGCCGCCCGCCGGAGGGGGAGGCGGCCGGGGGGCAGCAGCCCGCGGCGGCGGGCGGGGGCGGCGAGGCGGCGCCGCCGGGGGGCCGGCAGAACTTCCTGCTGCTGGGCGTGCTGGTCTTCATGCTGGGCGTGCTGAGCGCCTTCGCCGGGGCCGTCATCGACGGCGACACGGTGTCGCTGGTGGAGAGGAAGTACTCGCACTACTGCGGCCCGGCCCTCGGCGGCGGCGGCCCGCGGGCGGCGAGCGCGGCGCTGCGCTGCCAGAAGCTGCGGGACTACCAGCGCGGCTTGGTGCTCTCCACCGTCTTCAACGCGCTGGAGTGCCTGCTGGGCCTGCTCAGCCTGCTGCTAGTCCGCAACTACAAGGCGGCCCAGCAGCGCGGGCTCCGCCGGCAGCGCCGCCGCCAGCAGCAGCGGCCGGCGCCTGGCGGGAGGAGACGGAGGCGGCGGCGGGGCGGAGGCGGGGGAGCGGGCGGGCGGCGGGCGCCGCGGCCGAGCCAGGGCTCCATCTTCTCCAGCGAGGAGCCCGAGCTGTCCCCCGCCGACTGCCCCTTCCAGGCAGTCTCCTACATCAACGTGGGCGTCTTCCACGTGTTCGACGAGGCCGGCGTGGAGGTGCACTGCGGCGGGCACCCTTCCCTGGAGCTGCCCGGCTACTCGCCCATGGACCCCGAGCTCAACCCTTCCTACCCCTATTGCTACCCGCTGCCCCACGAGCAGCCCCCGGCCTATGAGGAGATCTACCCCGGGGAGCCCTGCGCCAACAGCAGCTAGCGAGGGGCCGGCCCCAGGGAACCGCACCTGCGCTGACAATCAGCCGCTGGCACCAGGCAGCCCCTGCCACAGCTTTTGGGGGACATACCCTGGGCAGCATCAGCCCCCTCTCTTCACCTCATCGGCCCGCGCAAGAAGCGTGCCTCCCTCGTCTCTCCGCGCTAACGCCCGCTGCGGCTAAGCGCCTTGCAAAAGATCAGCCTCAGTCTCCCGCACCCTCGAGCTCCATCACTGCATTTCGTGAGACCCTGACCAGAGCCCCACCGTCCGCTGCTCCTGCTGGTGAAGAAGGCTGGGGCGTGACCGAGCAATCCCACTAGTACATTTTTCACTATCATGGTTCTGCCTGCTGGACTTTTTCATCTGTCTTGTCTGCTAAATATCAAGATCAAGTTTTAAAAGGCTGGACAAGAACCATTTAGGAGTTGGTTCTTCCCGTCCTGATGTCTCTTTGGCCAATTTTTTTTTAAGTGAATCATCATCATAGTCTTTTCTTCAGCTTTAAAACGGTACAAAAGTATACCATTTATGATAACCAGCCAGGGTAAGGGGAAAAGTGTAAGGAAGCTTCTTTACTTCTCAAACAGAGAAATTTTTAACAACGAAAAGACGTTCCTGTAATGTTTACCACAGCTGTTTGGGGAAATTCTTATGTTTACACTTTCTTGAAGATTTAAATTCTATTTAAAATGTAGTGAGAATTAAACCCTGTGTTGGGTCTGGTAGGGTGCACATTAAACCCCCCCTGCACTTTCAAAAGGAAAAGGAAACAGCAACATTTTTGTACACTAATGTGCCTGCTTTTGTTGTTAACTTCTTACTGTAAAAGCTTTCGAAAGCCTACAGCGAAAAGGTTTGGTAGATTCATTGCAATCTAAAATTAATCACTTTACTAAAATAATTGAGATGTTATTGGGATATAGCAATTAAAAGGAAGTCCAAATGTCACCTACATTCCTTTTTGTAAACAAGTTCTGTGTTTTTAATGCGAGGCAGGGGTCATTTTTGTTTTACACAAGTTTAATTTTGTACAACTATATAGTTTCTCTTGTAAAGAATTTCATCGTACTGTTATAAATTCATCAATCTGGTAAGCTTGAATATTAAAGTTTATTTTAAAATATATACTTTAAACAGCCTTAATTGATGTAATTGCCACAGTTCTAAAGGAGAAGTTGTACAAACACACCTTCCAAACACGTTTTCAGAATCACACTTAAAATTCCCACTAAACCTGGAGAATAAAAGTGGAAAGCGTAATTTAATGCACAGAGAGCAAAGAAAAAAAATTAGATTAATTTACAAAAGTTAGCAAATACAGACACATTTAAAAAGGATTCCAGCCAAAAATAAGAAACTATTAATCCTCATTTAGCAGCCTGTTGTGGGATGTCAATTTATCAGATAGCAGGAGAAAGTAATAATTAAGGAAAACAACTATGGGGTATTTTTTTGTTGCACAGAAAAGGTGAAGGCTTAAGTAATGTTGCCCAAAGAACAAACAAGGCACACTTCGGATGGTGGCCTCCCACCTCTTTTTTCAATTAGCATGTATTAAAATGGAATCCTATACAAATAAGAACCCTTCTGTTAATCCTCATTTTGGAACCTACTGTGTAATGTCAGTGTATTAGATAGTAGGAGGAAGAGGTAGTTGCAGGAAAACAGAATTATGGCATATTTTTGTGGGGGACAAAGTTATTTTTAAATGTTAAGAAGCCAAGAGAAAAGTAATGTACAGCCTTAGACTCAGTAAAAGCACATTTTAGCCTAAAAATGTTGCTGCCTCTCTGCACTATTTTGTTTTCTAAAGCATTTTGATTTGCACACTTTGTATTGCCTAAAATGCAGAATGCCTTAGAAGTCTTTTTAAAATAAACTGTATCTATGAATCACATAACAAATCTTTACTCTAGATATGGAATCAAATGCAACTATTCCAAGTTTGCCAAGTAATTCTAAATTGTGGAAGTCTAGTGATACAGTGCTTTTCATTTGGCTGAAATTTTATCCTGTGGAGAAGGCCAGCACAAAGCCCTGTTTAAGTCCTACTTAAGTCTTCAAAATAGGCTTTATGCTGGGCCTCTGCACAAGGGGAAAATTTCACCCCCTTTAAACCCAATCCTGTAGTCCTTACATACAGTGCTGATTTAGCCAAAAATTTCATATTTTATATAATAGAGCCAAGGTTGTGGGGTTTGGTTTTTTGTTTTTGATGGTTTATTTTTTATTTTATTTTTTTACAAAATGGGTAACTGAAGGAAGGATGCTAAATCCTTATTTAGGCTCCTGAATAAGTGGCTTGATTAGCAAAAATGCTGAGCACCCAGCCACTCACTGAATTTAAAGGGGAATTGCTGGGTGCTGAGTACTTTTAAAAGTTAGGCCATTACTTGAAATGGCTAAATAGAGATTTAGAAGGTTAACGGCAGGTGTCTATTTTTAAAATCTTGGCTATACAATGGAATTTTTTAAAAACTTTAAGAAATTGATTTTTAACAGGAAATACCAATATTTTAGGGTTCATAAAATTAGATAAGTCTGAAACTCCAGTTGTTCCAAAGACCAGTGCTCAGGGAAATAAATGGAAAGTCAAGAAAGCTACCTATTACACTCAAGTTTAAATATAACATAACTTTAAACTCAAAATTTTAAAAGATTGTTAAATTCACTTTTTTGTTGTGTTATTTAAATATTATCTTTTCAGAATGCCATTATGTTTAAACATTGTTTGTGGATCAGCTACTTCCTAAATTCATATCTTTCTTCACTTGGGCTTTTTCCCCTACTAATAGTTTAATTTAGTGATGGAAAACATGCCGGAAAAACAATCTAAATCCAACTACTACTGAAGTTAATGGGAGTTTTGCCATTGACTTCAGTGGGAGTAGGAGTCAGCACAAATGATTCTAGCTACTCCACATAATACATGTGTAAAACAATATATTAGTCTTCTGGCACAACAGATAAGATGCAGCATGAAATATTAGCTCTCAGATATGTATTATTTGTATCAACAGAAGTGTGAAGAAAGTAACATGGTGTCACACATTTTTTATACATATAAAATTAGGCAGGCAAGTTGACCAAACAAGCCATGTTTTCTTAAAGATGGTATGCAAATGTTTCAGGTATCAGGTGACTAACTTTTATGGCAAAACGCAAATGTATTTATTTCTCAGTGAGAAGAAACTTATAAATACAAAGTACAAGAAGAAGCTTCACAAGCGTGATCCAAGTGTCATGGAGCCATTTTCAGTAATTTTGAAAACCATTATTATATAGATTGAGCAATAATGTTCGAGTGTATATATAGTATTCTGCCCAAATGGAAATAGGCTGGTGTAGTATTAGAATTTTAGGTTAATTACATTAGAGGGCTCATGCTACCCAATCTTTTTAAAATTATATCCCATATGTCATGTAATTGACAGAGTAAATGCAAAAGCAAATCTGATATAGGTCACTGGGGGGGAGGGGGGGTTAACTACCTTACAGGATTTTATTCCATAAACATAATAAAACAAGGGAAAAAACCACACAAATATTGTTAACACGTGTATCCATACATACACACTCATTTAGGTCCCAGTCTTGCTTTAATTGAAGACCATGGCAACACTCCCATTGCGCCTGATCAGCCACTGCTTTACACTTTGTTTAGTCACATCTGTGCAAAGGTGATATAAAGTGGGTGTGAATGCTACTGAACTTGCAGCATTTCACCTCCATTTTCCAATGCCTTTTCGCAGGTGTAAGTGACCAAAAAAGGAACAAGACAGTGGAGAATCAGGCCCATTGTCTTCGGCCGGAGCAGAATTGGGCCTCTGTGTGAAAAGAAAATGCCACCAGCCTATTAGTAATTCAGATGAATGATTTTCACACACTCCAACATCTTGCTTAACTAAGTTACTATATTTTGCATTGTAATTGACAGACAGAATAAATGTAAATTAAAAAAGAAAGAGCATTTGATGCTAAAAGAAATTTTTATTAAACTAGTACAGTTCATACTCTAAGTTTGATTTCACTATAGGACTTCTTTGGTTCACCAAAAGGCACTATGGTGACTGGTATAACTTAGATATATTTCAAATGTAATGTTTAATCATCAGAAAAGGTTTCTAAAAAAAAAAGTTAATGTGATGAGGGCAATCTGTTTCTGGGTTTGGACTTAGTACATATGAAAACCTTTTCTCCATTTTGCCATTTAATCTGAGATTGATCCTCAACAAAAATGTCAAATAATTGAGATTGTAATTTTAGGATCAATAAAATATGTTTTAAAGCACAGCATATCCTATAAGAAAAGCCTAATGCTCTTCATTTCATCTTTCCTTCTTGTCTTATAGTAATACCTAACATTGCTACTCAAAATAATATTTAGTTGCAATTTCCAGGACAAAGTATGTTTTCAGGGATTTATACTGAGCATCAGGTGGAAAACTGGCATTATATTTATTAGAATCATAGAATATCAGGGTTGGCAGGGACCTCAGGAGGTCATCTAGTCCAACCCCCTGCTCAAAGCAGGACCAAGCCCCAATTTTTTTGCTCTAGATCCCTAAATGGCCCCCTCAAGGGCTGAACTCACAACCCTGGGTTTAGCAGGCCAATGCTCAAGCCACTGAGCTATCCTCCCCTCCCCATTAGCCCTGCTTTGAATTAAAATCTACTTAAGTAAGGTAACCAATATTTTTAGTTATAGAGCATTCAGAGGTTTTTGGATGCCTTTTTATTATTTAAATGCCCAAACGAGTTCTATTTTTTAAAAATTGTATATAATGAAATTCTTCGAGCACAACTACGGTCTCTCTCCTTAATACAGGCTATTAACTCCTTTTAAATTTAGTATGGGAGAATAAGATTGAATTCTTACTGTAGACTCGCCATTTTAAAACTTTATTTTTTTCTAAATGGCCATTTAACCTCAAAAAGTTGCTCTTGTACATGACTAAACACATACTCTACAAAATCACTGTGGTACTGAAACTCATAACTTAGCATTTATAAAATGGGGTCCAGAAAGACCAGTGCAATGTTATATGAAATTCCCCATCTAATGAATATGTTGCAACAATTCAGTTTAAATTGCACTGAGTTCAGAAAGCGCCCCTGAACCAACACACTGTCACTGAGAGGAATTAAAGCTCATCATTCGTTTGCATTGCTTTGGTATGTTCTTGCTATTACAGTATCAAGGTGGAGACCATTGTGCTGCATATGCCATCTCTGGGTGAAATTCACCGCAGTGCAGAGGGACAAACACAAGACCTATGCACAACTTATGCTCTCAATATAGAGTTTAAGTGGTGCCTGTGCCGGTCCTCTGCACAGGGATACATTTCACCCGATATTCAGGCAGAGCAAATCATGTAATATTAGAACTCTGTGTATAGCCTCATAGTTCACTGACCCTGAGACTGAAGCATGACAGTTTTGGATGCGGTAATTGCCCTGTCATGGGTGTATATCTCATTTACAACAGACCAAATCCTGAAGTCCCCTTTTCATTCCCTTCAGGACAAATCTTTATGGACTTCAATGGGTTTATCCTGGAGTAATGATTAAAGGCTTAAAGATTTGGCCCAATAGTCCTATGCTGAGTTTCAGATATTTGAAAGATCTCATTAGATTTATAGGAGAAAAATATGTTTCTATTAAAATATCATATAAAGTATCACTGGCAGCATGCTGCCTATTTGTAAGCTCATATGTATTATGGGAAATGGAGAGAACTGAAGGATCAAAATTGTGTAGATGGCCCAGAGATTGCCTCAAGGGAGGATTGATCATAGAAGTAGCTGGTGTGTCACTTCCAGATTTGATTCTATGGTGATCCAGTTTGGTAATGTCTAGTAGTTGTTGTTTTTTATGTCTGAGAGTCTTTGTGAATAAGTCAGTAGTCTCAGTCCTGTTCCTAGGGGACAGATGTCTACTGAACACCATAAAAGTCACTACCACAGTTGTCAATCTTGCTATTCTTATCAGCAGTCAAGGTTTGAAAGGCATGAAGGCTGAAACAGTCTTATATGTGGTCCCTCTAGAACAGAGTTAAGGCATGATGGGTGGGGTGAAGAGGGGAAGTTGTACAGATATTTTTGGAGAAAGAGGACTTCATGCTCTAGATCCATCATTGTTTTTAAGTGAGAATCTGCATTAGATATAGGGAAATATATCCAAGAGAGTATTTTCAGCACACACGTTTGAAATCTTTTCAAAAACCGTAAGACTTTATTTTAGAGAAGGTGCTAGAAATCTTTGCATTTTCTCCTTAGCCACCTTTAAATCCTAATTCGATTCACCTAATTAAATCCTCAGGAGTTTAAATTATTAAATTTAGGGAAAAGTATTTAAATTTAGAGAAAATATTAGCTTAATCCTGCAAGATACCGAGTGCACTTAATTCTACTGAGGTCATAGGAAGGAACTCAGTACCTTGCAGGATCAGGCCTGATGTGGCCCAAATTGTGGCAGTCAGTCACTGCCTGGGAAGGGAGTGGTGCAAGAGACAGTCCTTTCCAAAGCAGCACAGGGGCTCCCTGCAGGCTGCAGACATGTCTGAGGTGCATTTAATCATCATATATTCATGATTAAAATGTATAACCTTACAAAGATGTCCATAGGGAAATGTAAGATTTGAGTAGATGCATGTAATTTCAGCTAATTTATACATATATTTTGAACCAAACTTCTCCTAAGAGAAAATACTGCAAAAAAGAGGATTGTGCTCCCACACACACAAAAAAAATCCATATGGAATTTCTGCCATGCTCCTGCTCCTCCAAATATCTGACCGTTCCTGGATTACCATGAAATTGCTGGAACAGACAGAAGATGGTCTAGCTAGAGTCCTGGAGAAGGGATGAAACTGAAGTGCAAATATGTTGAAAGCTATTAAGTGTTTCTAGGATGTTTTGATTACCCATGAGTGCTCTCAAGAGCTGAGCATGTGCTATGAACAGCAAATTCCGTAATTTTCAGAAACAGATCAAGCAGTTGAAAGATCTACTTTTATGATGCTGAGGAGGGGAAATATTAGCAAATGAAGATATACAGGTGCTAAATGGGACAACTTTTCTAAAAGACAAAACTAGAAGATTTAGAGAACCAGAGGTGATTCTCCAATCTGTGTTTTGTGGGCATCCGAAATGAAGAGAAGGATGTTGAGTTGATGGGTTTTCTGTGATGGCTCTTGCAACCAACACTCAGTAGAAAAGATCCAGGCCAAGAAATAGAAAGCACACTTGTTGTTCTTAGGCCCAAGTCGAAGACCAGATAAAAGTTCTTGCACTTCAGCAGAAGTGATTTTGCAAGAAATCCTAGTTGCAACTTTGGTGGATATTGATAAACAGATTTGCACCCATCCTGATACTAACATTGAAACTAACTCCGAGACATAACATCTGATCATTGCTGAGAAATCACGTTCTGCCTCTGACATGTTATGTTGCCATCTGAAGGGAACAGAAAGGGGTTTCTGCCAACACTGTGCAACTGGATTATTTGATTTAAAAGAGTTTGACTGGAGTGGCATCTTCCCCTTCTACATCACCAAGAAATCCTGGATCATTACCCTGAGCTGCCAAGAGATACAATTTGTACTAAGTTTTATCCTGAACATTGCTTTAATGTACAATGATTTCATGTTCCTATACATACTGTATAACATATTGCTGTGGCTTGCCCATGAGATGTCATACATACTCATGACATTTATATGCTAACATCTGGTATATAAGTACATTGAGCAGGCCAAGCTTATGGACCACCTGCTACTATGCCCAGGATGGTTTGGTTTTGCATATCTGTTAAGTGGTGATTAATCCAGGAGATAGCACTGCAATTTGGGTCAAATCCTGGCCCTGCTTTATGTAACTGTAAGAGTGTTATCCCCTTATTGCCAAGGTTCTACACTTGACCCATCAATACTGAGGAGAGGTAGAAGAAGGGAAACTGGTTCTTGTTCTGGAGCCATGGAGATTTCTACAAAACTACCATGTGGGAGTGAGGAAAGGGCCTCCCTAAGGCCAAGTAACGGTGGATAGGATGAGTGGGTAGGCTACTGTCCTCATCTCCCTGTGAACACTATGGAAGTGATTTCATCACCTCTATATGGGAGCTAGGTATTCTAGCCACTGTGTTCCTCTCTAAACTGACTGCTTTCTGAGAGTTATTAGTCAGGAGACCAGTCTTGATTCACAATGTCTATTCAATCTCTCCCAGCCAAGCAACTGCCAGAGGAATTCCCTACACACATGGAGTCAAGACGACACTGTGCTTGTGCATTGCCTCTCCTGTGCTCAGGTGGGAGAATGCTATGGTATATTAAATTATTGGATCAGTCAGGGGTACAATAAATAGAAAAGAGGAAGAAGACATGAGAAAGCCTTGCTAGTATCCTGCAGTTATACAGGTTTTTTGTTTCTTTAAAAAAAACCTATCTACAAACATCCATTGTCTCATGTATCCCCCTGAAGTTTGTGGGAGTTTTACCTGTGTTAGGTCTGCAAGATCAGACATTCTAAGTCTGAGTAATGCTGTCGAAAAGTCCCACACACTGGTTTACCTCAAAAGCAGTCCTGACCTTGTTCCAGCAAATGCATCTATGCATGAAAATCACAAACAGGGCTGAAACTACAGGAGTCCATTACTCTTTCGACAACAGCAGCAAAATAGATAAAAATGCTATTTAAAGTAGCAACAGCTCAGATTCAAAAAGTTCTTCGTTACAGGGAATATGGACCCGGCCAGGGTTAGAATGGCTTTGGGAAGGCATCTATGCACCAAAGGAAAATGGATATTTTCTTCCACAACATTTTCCTGACAACTATTGGAAACATATTAGGAAAGCAGGGGATTTCAACGCACTGTCGCATGTACTACTAGAACTGGTTTTCTGTTGTACAATGTATTCAGAACTTCACCTTACGTCTGATTGACTCTAACTTGCAATTTTTTCCTGGCAGATATCATATTCATGCACACACATTTTTTTAAACATATTCAGGGCTAACCTACAGAACTCTCACTCATATGGAGTAGTACATTGTTCCAGGTGATGTCCCTATGAAATCAACCCAACTGTTCACGGAGTAAGGGCTTACCAAACATGAGCAAGAGTATCCCAATCTAGCCCATAGTAAAAGAGAGGACGTAAGCTCTCTTGTTGTCTCTGACCATACTGTTCCCTAAACGTAAACCAGGCTATTTGTTAGAAGTGTCCGTGGAATGTTGCCTCAAGATCCCTTCAGGCTTTATCGTGGGCATAATTGAGCGCCCAGTGCAGGGGAATA